GCAAGACGGATGGATACGCGAACAGACGACCGAAAAGACGAAGAGAAGTCACGACATTAAACAACAGGAGCAGTTATGACGATGACGACGACTCGAACGACATCAGCAACAACAACAACAACAACAAACTCTCGCAGCAATAAGAGCCAACGAAAAGGGCCGGGCCTACAGCAGTGATTTTCGTCACTTTATTTTATGGTGCCTGCTGTGGTTAATGCTATCGCTGTTGTTGTTGTTGTTGCTGTTATTGTTGTTATTACCGCATAGTCGTGGAAAGCTTCAGCACCAGCGACAAAGACATCGATTACACGGGGTGGCGGCAGGCCGCACCTTAATCTAGCGCGTCATCAACGACATCAGCATCTGCATGGAGACGTGAATTCAACATGATTACCATCATAATCAGTAAAAACTATGACGACGACGACAACAACAACAGCATAGGTACCAGATTCATTGCCGCTGCTGCTGTTGTTGTTGTTACCGCTGCTACAGATGACCAGCTAACAACAACAACGTTATCGAACACGGGTCGCTGCAAAGTAGCAGTTTACCGATACGTTGATCGCGACATGATTATCTCGCTGTCATCGGGTCGTTCGTCGAGTTTGGCACCGTCACGGCCATTACCACTAGCACAACTAAAATATATGCCAACACCGCTACACGGCTACCCCCAAAGTAAAGATAACAACAACGACATCGACAATAACAGACAAAAATGTACACGCCCAGACACATAAATAGACACATTCGTAGGCGACGGTTGTATGTTGCCATCGGCGCGGTCAAAGAAGGAGCTGATGACAACTGGTAATAACCGAACTAATTAATAACCAGAAAGAGTCAGCAAAGCCACCGATTAGGTAACCGTTTTACAGGGAGATTACGAACAGTTTCAAGAAGTACCAATATCAATGACAGTACTTATCGCAGGCATGTAGATATTATAGAAAAACCCTTATTTATCATATAACCCCATCTTTTTTCTTACTTACGACTTACGATCGCACCTTTGCTCACGTTTCGCCGGGAGAAACTTAGCTTTTATATCTAGCTTCTACCTTGTTCGTTTCCTTATACGAGAATCGGAACATCCTGAGCTGTTCAGCTTACAGCATAAATGACTTACAAATCTGTATATTTGGATCGTACCTGTGATTATTTCGACGAGCAGTACCTCGCTTTTGGCAGTTAGGGTGCTCCGTATACCTGTGCTGTTACTGTTATTATTGCGCGAAGTCTGGTACGTACGTTCTTCCTCGGCAATAGCGAACCTTCCAGGTCGTGCTTCGACCCGATGTTTGCCTCTACTCGGTGAATCGTTGTCGATGTCCATTGTATCTATATTTAAAATTTAGCGGGCTTTTTTGAAGGAACCGTTAGCGTTACTAAAGAGTTTTATGATGATTGCTCTCGCAAATTATAGTGCAGTGAGTCGCAAGTAAGAATTTTTGGAAAAAGCTTCAGCAATGGGTAAAAAGTAAACGAAGCAAAAGGAGGACAGAAAGAACAAAAAATCAATGGCAGTTTCAAAGTCTAACAAATAAGAACAAGCCTACAAAACAATCGGGAGTTAGGAACAGGCTGAACGCCTAGTGGACGTAGTGGTAAAAAGACGCTAGTAGAGCAATTGACAGCGGCGAAGATTCGAGGTGGACTGACGCGACGTAATTCTCGTCGTCTCAATCAAGCAGCCAACAAAGCACCCCATCAAAGTAAGACGTTAAACTGATGACGGGCAGAGCCTCACAACGACAGCGTCAGCGAAATATGGGGTCTCGCGCAGGCAGAATGAGGTCGACATGGCATAGCCAATATCTAAATATCTGACAAAGATATTCCACATGGCATTACTGGACGCAGGCACCGATCTTCTCGAGCGCCGTCACAATCGTCGTCATTCTGCTGTTGGCGCTATTGTCGCCACTGTTGTAGGTCCCCTCATCTAAACGAATAGTTAAATTCTTTTCCTCTGTTGTACTTGTTATGGCTAGTTCTGACGCCAGCGGCGGCGGCGGCGGCGGCGGCGGCGGCGGCGGCGGTGGTAGTGATAGTGGTGCGGCGCTGTTGTTGCGCCCGTTGCCGGCTCCAATTGGCCGCCAGTTACGCGCCATCCACAGATTAGATCTACAGAACAGTCGGACAGATGGACGAGCGGACATCAAGCAACGAGCGTTAGCATGGCTTCGGCAACTTACCCAACATCTCCGAATGTTTAAAGATGGCGTTCGCAAAGCGCCGCTACTGCTGTTGCTGCAACCGTTCGCTAAGCGGCAGACTTCTGAAGAATCCGCGACGATTTTTCGCGCCTGTAGAAAGCGAGTATCATCAGCTTGCCTTGTCTCAACAATTAATAGAATTTCGACTGAAAGCGAAGAGGCAATTCAACCCCTCTGCTAAGAGATGGTCCTGTGGTGGCTTACGAAGTGGCCGTTGCTGAAGAGGCCATAATCGAATTGGGATAAGGTACGTCAGGAATCAAGCGGTCAGTTGGCTCAGCTAATTCAGTCGGGCAAAGATTATTCATGATTTTGATGACAGTGATGATCATGGTGTTCGTCATGGCGAACAATGATCGTTTTCTTTTTTCCCAAATAGAAAAGCCCCCGATAGGTGTAATTAACGCTCCGTAGCCGATCACGTTCGATTCGCTGGATAAAGAAAAGGCTAGCTAGAAAGGGACAGATTGTACCGACTGCTGAAATAAACCCGCTGGATCAGCTAATGCTGCTAGATCTGTCTCGGTTCTACTGATCATTTGAATGTGTTCTGAACATCTGAACGAATACTATTTGATGACAAATAACTAGCGCGCTTTCTTTCTGACTATCGTAGACGTGCCATTCCCTAATATTATACGCTGTGCTAGAAGTATAAATATGCCCTGGCCTGTATAGCACCACAGGCTTTCCCTACATATACATCTTTAGTGTAATGCCTCAAATCGAGGATATTTTCCTGTATTCACAGATTCAGGCATGCTTAGCTACGATATGCTAGCAACAACATGAAATTTTAGGAGCGACAGAAAATCAACAAATTAGGCTGTCGCATAATGGCACAGTATCGTTGTCACTACCATGTAGAAGTCCTATAATTTTTTTTATCAAGTTTCATACGCCGACGATTTTGGCCGTTACACGTGCACCGGTTAAGAATAAAAGTGTAACACAGCTGCGGTCGATTGCCGTTAATGAGGGTAAATTGTGGACTCCTACGGCGAAACACAACTATTGTATTGTGAAGTCACAACTATTATTCTACACCTCACGCTATTATACATCTACCTCAGAGAAGCACAATTTCGTACGAAGCTGATGCGACGTCTCGGTGCAACTGGCGGTCTGAAATAGTCACGGGCCATTGTTGGCAGCAACAGCTTAACTGCTACGCGCAGCCGCTGCGAAATGGAAAGAATCAAACGAACAGATAGGCGCCACCGAAAGCTAAAAATGCATCGATCCATGCCGATAAAAAAAACACTAAAATCTGTAGACCGGCCCTAAGTTATAAACGATATTGTATTAGAAATTGATGCATTGTTGTGTACGAGCTTGTAATTCTGTCGGTGCCATCGCAGATGTATCGGGTCGGTCCGTCACTGCTATATGTTCTGTGGACAGCGGTCGAAATGAAAGACAGCAGCGACAGCCACGATCCCCTGCTGACCAGAGGAATACAGGCGTGGGGCTCTATCAACTGGCACGCCTTTTTTTACTTGAAAGTGTACGTACTGGTAGGCTATTAGCAACTAAATATAAGTGATACATAAATCTAATAGAGAGCCTGAAAGGAACATTGAGCGACCACACACATGTGGAGAAAAATGAAACCAGGACCGACTGTGCTATGTAATATTCCCAATATGTTATGCGGCAGCGTTGCTACCGGCTTGCGGTTCCTGGACTCTAATCAGGGTTCCCGATGTACGAACGGTTTACGTGAATATGTCCTAATAACTTTGATTGCTTTCTGTTTCATTACGGAAACTCATTTCAAGGATTGTAACATGCGCCTTGATACGGCCGCACTGCTTCCGATCACTCCGTATAGCCGATCTCAGATATTCCTAGCTTATATGTTTATCTTTTACAAGACGATAAAACGTTAGGTAAACGTTATCGTAAGCACCGGAAGCATTCCTGCTGAACGCCTTTTACCCGACGGTTAGGACGGCTGAATGGCTTATGAGTGCCACTATATGGCAACGACCACAGAACCGCCTAAAGCTGTTTTTCGCCACTGCTGCCTCCAACATCGTTTACTTATTCATTCTATTTCTTTTACCGACAACAGATCACAGCATAACGTTAAACGTGAGCGAGTGTCGTACGTCGTATAGCTGCTTCATCTCTCATTTCGTCTATAGCCGCCAATCAGTAGCTGGTAGCAGCGATCACGCCAGAAACATCAGCATCAGTAGACACAGAAAAACAGCAAAAGGAAAGAACTCAGGGGGCGGATACCCTCGAAGTCGCTGTCGCGGAGCAATGTTTTTGACGTTGGCGATCTTAGCGTCAAGTACTGAACGCCGGTTAGGTAAGAGACGAAGAAAGTTACAATCGCGCCTGCAAACAAACCGATGTCGTCCGCCGGAGACCGCACGAGCAAAACTCAGAGCATGGCCCTGTACATAAGAAACAAAATGCCAACTTCTTCGAGAGATGATACGTTGGAAATAACAAGAGCAACAGCAGTTAGAGACGACAGGATTGTCTACAATCACCAGTTGCTTAAAATCGTCCACTTCAGTCAATATAGAGCCTATGAGGTAACTGTCAGCGATTTCATATCTAGAGATTCATGTGCAGCACTTAACCACTAAACAGAAACATCGTCGTCGTCGTCGTCATCGTCGTCGTTGGGTAACTGCGGTTTTTGATCTTGCTCGATTCTAGGTAGACTACTTTGAAGTAATTGAACAAAAAATGGCTATGTACTTAGTGAACGTAAAACGAGTAACAATCAAACATGTCATATCTGACGCTGCAGCTTACCTTCCTGTCTTGGTGATAATCATTTCAGTACCGAGCTCGTTGAACCTCTCCCAGAGGTCTCTGTTTTCCAGATGGCATTCGATTTTTTCTAGCGCTGGGCTGTTGCATGCGCTCCGTAACAACGATGCGTAGGGGTTAGGTCCCGAAGGGACCCTCTCTACTCGGTCGGTATCTTCAGTACCTGAGGTGTTGCCTCCGTCATCGGCTGAAGCTGCAGACGCTTGAGGAGTTCGCGACTTTTTTGGCGGAGGCGCTGAGGGCGAGCTGGCTGCTGGCGAAGGTTGCGGCGATGATCTCGGAGATGGCGAACCTGTACAAGGAACCGCGCAGAAACAAGCACAAGGTCGGATGATATCTATAAATGCAAGATAATTGTTTCGGCATTATGCATGTTGAGCGGTATGGCTTACAAACAATCACTAGAAATCTTTTTCTATCTTGTATCATGATTGGTTACACGTCTTCCCCTATAATGTGCTGGTTGTCGCAGAGCTTGAATAACACTGATATAATATTCGTTGTTACCGCACGTTCCCTGCTTCGGTTAGTTACGATTCTCTTTCGTGCGTAAATTCTTCCATCGACTCTTTTTTTTCTGCTTTCCGGCAGGAAGCAGGAAGATGCGTCCTGTTCGCGCCGTTGTTACGGCAGGTTTTTATTTGAGGTATAAGAAAGTAATGATAATGATAGATATGTATTTGTTGTAGAAATACAGTTGTAGTAGTTCGCTCATTTATATATAATGTAATACAGGGATAGAGACGTAATAAAAAAATTATATATATATATATATATATGTACGGCTGGACAGATAATAAGACAGTGGCCGATAATTATTAATGTAGGCTTCGTAATGTGCGAGCATCTGTTTCTCGCTACCCCCCTTCGTTCCCAAACCGCCACCCCCTCGTCCCTCCGATTTCATGACGACGATAACAACAACAACAATAGCAGCAACAACAAGATGCTGTAAAAGCAGCATCAATAGCTGCCAAGAAGAACGCACCGCTAGCGTTGATAGTCACGATCGCTAATGCAATTTCACCGTTGCTATCGTAGACCGAACTCATTAGTCGGCCAGCGGTAACTGACCGAGAATCAGCGGTAGAGTCTTAACCGCCAGAGCTCTAGGTTACTATTATTGGGTTGCTGGAACCCTGTCGGTCAATGATGAGACGGATCAACGACCAGTGGCCGTCATATTTTATATGCATACAGGGAGTACATGTATAATACTACATAGAGGAACGACCGCAATCAAGAGCTGACCGCACACAGGCCGGCCGACCGCCCGCGCGGTCGTTGGCGATTCGAGGTCGACCACTCTACTATATTCTCTATGAGCTGCAACTATCAGTTGCAGCAGCGGCAGTAGTCGAAACCACAATGGAACCATCGGCAACGAGAAGCTGCGGTTTGTTGCCAACTGCCAGACGACAGTAACAACAACAACAGCAGCAGCTGGCATTGTTGTTTAGCTGTTGTTGGTATGGCCGACGGACGCTTCCACGTCGATGCTGCTGTGGTAATGACGGAACGCAACTGATTGTTGCGTGCAATTACTTAATACGGCTGGTAGTGCTTATTAAAATTATGGCTGGTGCGCATAATGACAGCGTTAGTGGAAGGACTACATAAACGTATATTCATACATGGATTGCAGTAGCAAACGGAGAGATTAAATTGAGCGGGTCGTGGCAGCCACGTTTGACATGATGGGTTATTTGTTACTGATGCGCATTAACAAAAGAGAAACAGACGTCCGGTTGAGGGGATGTGCCGAACTCTATTACGAACAATTGCTACTTCGGAAAGCTGTTATCCTTCTATTTGCATATGTATGAGATAAAATGGAATTGTTAGCAATGGCAACTTTTCTAGCTATGATATGTAGACACACGGAAATTCCTCTCAGAATGATATTGGAACAACGTTTTACTGATCGTAACGTACGAGCGTATACTTAGTGTGAAGCGGTGCCAGTCGACGGTCCAACTAGAACGTTTTTCATTAATACAGTAGATCAGGGTTGGCTTTTTGTACAGCCGATTACAGAATCCGAAACGACTCGGAAAGATGTTGGCTAAGTACGTTTTCCTAAGAATCAGTAAAACATAATTCACAAACGAGAGGAACGATGATATGAGTTTGCGTTAATAGTTCCCTCTGTGCATAAATAAACAATTGTAATTCGTTAATAACAAGAAAAAAGCTTGCATACGACATGGCCAGTGCAGTCGATCTTGACCAGCTGTGAACCCTCGCAAAGACAAGCGTGCATCACGTATAGAGGAGGGATAGAGTTCTTTTCCTCTGCTCGCATGGAGCGCTCACATCGACCGACTCGTTGAGAAAAACAGTGACAAGAGTGACGAGGTAGAATTGGAAAAAGTGGTGGCCATACGCCATCAGAAGCAGCGATTGCAGCCGAGGAGATGCTTCACATTGGGGCCGCGTGCTGACAGCTCTTAACAGGCTACAACCCTACGTTGTAGGCTTTCACCGTTCTCCAGCGACTAACCGTTTGCCAATATTCTCTTTTGCTGTATAGGAAAGATTGAAGGTAGTGAGATAGGACCACCCAGGCAGATAGCAGCCAGTGTTATATGTCGTCTCACGTTCAACAGCCATCGCTCGATGTTCCACCAACCTTATGCCGAATGGCACCGTTTCTGACGCTGATGCTAGTCATGTTCCAGTCATTCCTTCTGGTGAGCGTTCCAGTTTCCTCGAAACAACAGTCATCTGTCTGCCTCTGCCGTGTGCTCGTTCTTTGTGGACTAACGTGGATTTCTAAAGCGTTGTGCGTTTTACTGACACAGTGAGATAGACGCTCGTTTTCCCCACTCTATATATCTGTTTCTATATGTGCATGCTTGTATGTGTATGTGTGTGCCTATGCGATCATCATAGATCGTAGTAGATCATCAGCAATGGTTCTAGTCGAACCCTCCTTTCTACAGACCGTTGCTTGGTGGTCGCTGTCCATGAATGTGGCTATTGAACTTCAGAGAGGACATATTGAGTTTTAAGTGTGTTTCTATCGAATCTGGGCAGTTCGAATCATCAACACTACCTGTTACCTAGGTAAAAATAGGATAAATTACAACAAGCCAGGAACAATAGAATGAGAATCAACACAATGTACCTTACTTTACGCTCTTTCAGTTTAGCCTGTTTAGATCGCTTAATATCAGTTGACTATTAGTGCATTAAGCCCAGCTTCGGATAACAAGAAGCAAGCTTTCTCACGCCCATGACTTCGTCAAACCCAAATGGTTTTGGCGTACTCGGTAACGCGTTGTTACCACACATGCTCAACTCGACACATCAGTACATGAATATATGCTATTACATACATATACAAAGATAAGTACACGCATATACGTGTAGCTTTACCTTGACACCATACTCCTGACAACAATATCCATTAAGTTATTTAACTTGTCTCTTTTAAAGGAGAAGTATATATATACTCTGTCGTCAAAAGAGACATATATATATCGGTGAACGGGGGGCGAATCAGTGGGGCTTAGTATGCTTTTTTTTTATTGTTTTCTTATTATGTCTCGTGTCTGGTTTTACCCCGTTGACCTATGTTAGGCAGTTGTTATCTATCTGTCGAACTGTATTGACCAAGGGGTAAAAACAGTGACAGTGATCATTCGAAAAAGACCCTCTGTACCTTAGGTTATTGTTGTGTATCGACCAACTTGGGTTCAATATATGATGTAACATGTGAATGTGTATGTGTATCTTATATACATATAGGCACAAAGGGCGTGTAGAGGAAATCAACAGCATATCAGGGGAATATACGACGGAAAACAACGATAAGAAAAAGAATAGGGAGGCGCCTGACATTGAGCAGTGGTTAGGCCAGGGGTGGCAGCAGCGACGACCGTTGCGAAAAAATTACTAGAAAACGTCGGGCGTGTGTACTAATGTTCTTGGAGTAAGAGAAAATCCAAAACGATCAGAATAGTCAAACGAACATATAGCCAATGCAACAAGGTTGGCCACTGTTCTAACTATATCGTCACTTTTCGGAATCGGCATGCGAGAGACAGCTGATGGAACGAAGTGACGGAACGGGCTCCTGAACGCCAACAATTATTCTACGTGCGGTGAGGTAATGTGGTGAGGCCACAGACAGATGTGTCAATCCACACTCATATTATCGTCAGGCAGCAGTACCACAGTTAGAGATAGCAGTACGACCGATTAGAATGTGGGAAATGATTGCTTTGTGTGGAAATTCTCCATAATTTGCGAGTTTATCAATAGGAAATCATATCTGATTACCTATTAGCTAAATGACTGCAACGCCTTCAAGTGCCTCTCATAATGGAGTATAAGTACGTTTGTTTAAAGTTAGGTTTTGGCCAGGGTCCTTGTCTGTTGGTACGTAGTGTGCTTCTTGTAAACTCGTGTGACTATGAAATTTCATCCCACCGGCCTTCGACGTCTGCTATGGCGTGGCTCTATGTTATGAACGTGCAAAAAGAGCGGTACCCCGAAACGCAGCAAGAAGTGCATAGAACTAAAGAGTGGATATGTCGGACTGGGTTTTCAAAAGGACTATTGAAACAAAGAAGAATCGGTACCGTAAAGCAGAGTAAATATTATTACCCTAGGAATAAATGAGAAACCGTTATATTACTGTATATACTATTATATAGTTGTTACGATCGTCACAATGTTACTGTCAGCCCAGTTTATCATGCATCGCACATGAAAAAAACAGTAAATAGTAAAAGAAGCAAAAAAAAAACGTGGTCAGAAAGGTAGACGACTCTTAACTTGGCAACAGGAGGGGCAGACGAGAGCGCTGTGATTGTCCGTAAAGGTCGGCCGTTGAAGGCGCCATAGCAGCAAGCAAGCAAGCAACACTAGCACTAGCAGATTTCACGTAAACTTTTAGGCTTCATTTTAGATATATGACGATATAGCGAAACGAACAAAAGGTTGGTCGAGGCACACCCTTATGATTTAGTATGTGCGAAAAAGTTAGACGCTTTTGAAAATGTTATCTTAACAGAACTATATACACAATGACCAATATTTCAGGCTACACGAAAGCTACTTTTTTTATTTTGTCAACTTTTTTTTTTTTTTTTTTTTCCTATACTACAGACATTTTACCTATTCAAATTATAATTGCAATTATTCACGTATTGGGTGCGGAAGTGACTGTTATTGCTGAATCGTCACGTAAACACATCTGAATTGTAGCTGAATAAGCAAGGGATGACACGTTGCCTTTCCCCGTCTTAATTTACAGTAATAACATATAGTCACTTGTCTGGT